CTTTCTAATTTTTTATATAAAACCTCAATAATTTATTTCATCAGGAATGTCTATAAAACGTCTTAATCAAATCGAAAAACACTTATCTACTATGGCCTGTAATTATATAATATGTTCATTTTGTTAAAATATTTAAAATAATTAATAATAATAAATAATTATTAATTATTTTTTTTTTTATAGCAACGAATTCACTTTTTCATGAAGTTCCCCTTGCTCCTCCAGACGTTATTTTCAATCTTACTGCCAAGTATAAGGCAGATACTTTTGCTGAAAAAGTAAACTTGGGTGTAGGAGCGTATCGTGACGATGCAGGTAAACCTTGGGTGTTACCTGTTGTTAAAAAGGTAGTGTATAAAATTTTGATAATATCGATAAAATATATTGCACACTCGAGTGTCGCTAACAATAAAAAAAAAATTCGTCCAAATTATCAGGTTGAACAAGCCTTGGTAAATGATCCTTCACGAGATCATGAATATCTCCCTATATTGGGTCTTGCATCTTTCAGAGAAGCATCAATAAGATTAATACTTGGTGCAGACAGTCCCGCTATCAAAGAAAATAGAGTAAGAAATTTTTTATCAATAATAATTCATCTAATTTCGAATATATTAATTAAGTGTACAAAGTTAATAGGTTACAGCTGCTCAGACAATATCTGGTACGGGAGCTAACCATCTTGGTGCTCTATTTTTGTCAAGATTTTATTCTAAAGAAGCACCTGTTTACTTATCCAATCCAACATGGGGTAAGTTATTATCATTTCTTTTTTCTTTACAAATGGTATCCTACAACGAAACATTATTAATCATTAAGCCTTAATTCTTTAGCAAATCACAAGGCAATCTTTAATAACGTCGGTTTGGAGACAAGAGATTACGCTTATTTTAACCCAAAAGATAATGGTTTGGATATTGATGGCTTTTTATCAGACCTTAAGGCAAAAATTAATTAATTATTTATTTTTCTTAATTAGTATCTTTTTCGATAAAGAAATATTAATAGTATTCAAATATTTTTTATAGGCTGCACCTGAAAGATCAATTATTCTATTACATGCTTGTGCTCATAATCCAACCGGCGTAGACCCTACACAAGATCAATGGAAAGCAATAGCTGATGTTATCGAAGTAAGCTATTATTATTATCTCTTCATGCTTGCATAAAAAAAATTCTCACTTTTTTCATTTTTCTTTTGATATGAACATGAAATTATTATTATGTTAATATAGTCAAAGAAACACTTTCCATTTTTTGATTGTGCATATCAAGGATTTGCTAGTGGAGATCTAGATCGTGATGCTTGGGCTGTACGATACTTTGTTGAACGCGGTTTCGAATTGCTTATCTGTCAATCCTATGCGAAAAACTTTGGTTTATATGGTTTGTATATTATTTTTATTTTATTTTATTCTTAATGAAGATTTCCTCTCTTTTACCCTTAATTGATTTTTAAATTTTTATAGGACAACGTGCTGGTTGTTTAACATTCGTGTTAAAAAATTCTGACGCTGCCGGTCGTGTAAGTAGTCAACTCGCCAAATTGCAACGTTCTGAAATCTCCAACCCCCCAGCACATGGCGCTCGTATAGTTGATAGGGTATTAAATAATCCCGATCTTTATGGTGAATGGTAAGTCATTTAATTACTGTGATAATTAATTTTTGCCAAGGCTATTAACTAATCGATAATAATTTTAAAATTAGGGTTGAAAATCTCCGAGAAATGAGTTCTCGTATTAAAAATATGCGTGATGCTTTACGTGATTGTCTTATCAAATCTAATACTCCTGGTAATTGGGATCATATTACTAACCAAATTGGAATGTTTTCCTTTACTGGACTTAAAGGTAAATAATGTATTGAATGGCATTTGTACAATAACATGTTTTTGTCATGTTCATTCTATCTCATTCTATTATATTTTATTTTTATTTACCGTTCATTTATTGATTTTAACACATACGCTATTTTAATTATATAGTTCCACAGGTCACGGTTCTTAAAGAGAAATTTCATATTTATCTTACAGATAATGGACGTATTTCTATGGCTGGATTATCCACCTCAAATGTGAAATACGTTGCAAATTCTATAAATTATGTTGTAAACAATGTAGTTTAAAATGCTATGAATTCTTTATTAACATTTCCGAATTATTATGTTACTTTTTTTACGCTATTTTTTTTCCTACTCTTAAATTAAAAAATTATTTAATTACACGAAATGAAGTAATACAATGAAATCGAATTATATCGTTATGCATTATCTGACCTTATTGTTTATATAATTGTTTGTTTGTTTATTTATTTATTTGTTAATCTAGAAGTAAGATTTTATTATTTGACAGATTTCTTATCTGATTGTTAATGTATGATTACTGTAATTGCATATAATGTACTATCAACGTTTATAAAGAAATATATATATCTTAATGGAAAAAATTTTTTGATAATCATCATAAAAATATGCACAGTTTGATTCGGAAAATTTTATAAAGATAAGATTATCTCTTTATTTAAAATATGGGATTGTTTACATACATATATTAGTAGATATTT